AGCCGAGAGAACCTCTGACCAGTCCACCCGTCCAGCGCCATCCTCTACCCTCCCTGGGCTTCGAGCGATTAGGTCTCCAGGGGCAATAGGAAACGAGATGTGGATGTTCCCTGTAGAAACTGGCCGTGGTTTGCGCCTACAAGGTCGGGGGCTGACGCTGGACTCCGGGCTAGGGAGGTGAGCATATCGTTCTGGTTTGACCGGTGAGAGGGGGACAGACTTTTGGGGACTGGGGTCATACGGAGGCTGCTGCTGCATTGGAGTTGGGCCAACCGGGCTGTGGTGCAGACTGAATCCAAACTCAATACCAGAGTCCCTGATGGGGCTACACCTCTGCTGCTGTTTGAGAGAAACACTCTCTGCTGGGGGAACCTTGCTGATCGGGTCAACCATCTCTGCTGGTCTCTGCTGATTCTGCTCCCGTTGCACGTACTCCCTCGATCTCTTAAGGAGGCTGTCCAAGCTTATGTCCTCATCATCCTCCTCTTCCTCTTCACTTCTCTCTTCATTCTCGACTTTTAAGTCCTTCTCTTCTTTGTATCCATTAACAATGGGCATCTCAGAGCTAGGATGAGAAGGTGGCTCTACTACGTTTGGCCTAAATTCAGGAACTTTGGGAAGCCCAGGTGAGTCAGTGACCAAAGTGTAGCCGCTGACAGTCGCAGATTTACAAACTGGGGGCTTTATGTTTTTCTCATGTGGCACGTCTTGCACCTGAAGAGAAAATACACAGACAAAAAGCTTTTCAAGTAGAGGGAATACTGTATACAAACTTGTTAAAAGTTTAAATGCACTCAGAACAGGCTTGAATGTCTTCAACGTTGAATCTTTATTGATCTGGTTGTACTATTAATTTTTTAGGCTACAATAATCAAATAAAATAAAATGTTAATAAATTTATTATGGAGTTTTTTCTAATTCAGATACCTTGTTTCTTTAAATGGATCCAAAATGTATCGTCATTCCCCCCGTTTTTAAATAAACATCCCCATGTTTTATGTTTGTCCCAGTTTGTCAGATTTGCAAGAGAGCGACATTTTTTTACAAAATGAGTTGACAAAACATGGCTTTAATCAGATAAAAATATCTCAGCTCTCTGGGGCAGATTTTAAATCAGGCACTCTGTATTTAACTCTGCAAATGTCACCAGAGATTTTAGGGCAATGTGTAATTTAGTTTTTGTGCCACATCCTTGCACAGATGCACCTATTTTTACACTTGAGGCACGAATATGAAATCTTTATATGGAGGAAAACATTCCTCTTTTTTCTTTCCTCGCTGTCATAAACATTTATGACTTTAATCTTCAGATTGTGTTTGACTAATTTGCTTTCACAGGAATCTTTATTTTGCCAGCGCAACATTTTCTTCATATCAACTTATGTGTCTAGGAAGATGCATTGTAGACTGACCTGTACGTGGTCCAGAATGACTTGAACTCGGGCCATAAGCTTGTTTCTCTGCAGGTTCTCTCTGTTCTGCTCCAGCTGGATCGCCCTCTGTCTGTAGCCATGCATAGCTGTGTGCTGCTCTGCACGCAGCTGAAAGAAAAAGTTCATCTTTTTATCTTCTGTTAAGGTGATTCACAAACTCTCACGGTGTCCACACAGATAAAGAATTAGTTAAAGTCTTTACCAAAATGGGGTTTTTTTTGTTTGTTTTTTTTACATTTTTGGAGTTAAAAATCTTAAGATTCTTTCTGTGAGATCCGGGGAAAGAGTTCCTGAAATGGGATGATTCCTGAACACTTTTTGTCAGCAGTGAGGAACAAATGGGTTTTTCAATCAGGCCTGATTCAGCTCCTCATCGATTACCTTTTATCTATTTTCTGTGCCAACTGCTGACGTAATTAGACTCGTCTTATGTGAGAACTCCTGACTTCTTTTAGCAAGAAAATCAAAGGTTCAAACAGTGGAATACCTTAAATGGAATGTTGTTTTTAAAGCGACAAACTGGACTCATGCTTTCTGTATTAAGGGAAGCCAAACGATGAGCCAAAACAGGCTTTGAAGTGATGAATTACCATGTTTGACAGAAATGTTAGATTCTCAAGGTCTTGCAAAGAAATGCAGGAGTATATTTTTATACACCTTACAATAAAATGTCTTATTTTTTGTTCTTATCTTTGTGTGAAGATGCATGCTTCCATTTTGACTGTCTCTTAGATGCTGTTACGCTTGAATTTCCCCACTGAGAAAAGAAAAAAAAAGGATATCTCTATTCCATTCTATAAAAATTTGAAATGAAATAGAAAAGATTCTTTGTTTTATAAAATGTATTGAAGTTGTGTTGATTCCACCCTGAAAACAAGTAGTCAAACAACTTAATAAAAGCCACAAATAAATATGATATTCATGTATATAAAGCGTAAAATAAACTTCCCATTGGAACTGGAACTCGCAAACATTGATTACATATCGAATCATTAGATATGGGTTCTGTTTTGGACTAATAAAAAAGCTCATTATTTCACAACTCTGGCTTGCTTACCAAAGGCAAAAGTATAGGTCTCCCATGAAAGCGGATGACAGAGCCTGTTTTCAGGGAACATAGCGGCTCACATGTCTTCTTCTTGAGTTTCCCCTCCTGCAGCATGGCCAAACTCCGCATACAGAACTCCTCATAGCTCTCCATCCCTGGACGACCACACATCCACTCTCTGGGCAGGAAACACACACCATGTAGCCTTGTCACCCAGCTGTTTAAATCAAATCAAATAAAGACTTGGAATTACAAAAAAGTTTGCGAACCCTTTGGTTTACTGTACACTTAGTTTGACTATAAAGTATCATTTACACATATTTGCCACACATGACTTCAAAAGTCAGCATATTCTGCTTGGATCTTATGCAATAGGCCAACGTGAAGTAGTGCATGACTGGAAAAAGGAAGAAGATATATATTGTTTCCGAGGTTTTGGACAAATAAAAATCTGCATTTGTATTTAGTGTCATGGAGGCCAGAGATGGCGTTTTGGGGAGGTTTAAGGCAGAATTATATTTTAAAACAAGCATCACTTGAAACAAGAAAAAGTAGACCTGCTGCAAACCTACTTCAAACTAAAATGACAGAAGAAGAAGTTTTTATTAAAGAAGCATCCAATAAGCCCAAGGTAACTGCAGGAGCTCCAGAGATCCACTGCTCAGGTAGAACAATTCGACAACAAAATTTCCCACCTGATCTATTAGTTGTGCAGGCAACAAACCATATGAAAACCAGATATCCTTTCCCACTCCCCGTTTCAGTAATGCACCAATTTGTGCTGGTTTATCACATAAAATGTCCAATTAATACATGTTTGTGAAAAGGGGGTGTCAACATTTTTAATGGCACTATATAATGTAATCAGGAGAGTAGAAGTCCCCTGTAACAATGAAGCTCTGTTTGCTCTCATGTTGTCTCATCACATTCCTGCCATTCTTTTCTGAAGGACTTAGCTGATGACTCGTTTCCTTTTCCGGTGCTTGTGAAAAATGCAGATGGGATTGTGTGTCAAATCAATGCGGTGTATTTTTGGAATATCTGTCAGCAATTATGAGAACAGTGTAGTCCATACAGATTTACGGCGTAAGACAATTGGCACAAAGATTTTTTTTCTTTTTTTTTCCATGGAACATAACCTTTGTCGGTATTACGCTTAAGTTAAAGACAACGCCTTTATAAAGCTGTAACCTCTGACTACCACACAGATTCATGCAGCCCATCACAGCACAGCATGGGCGGGGATGGTTTCCTTTTGGCCCCGCGCTGTTTTAGAGCATGCTTAACCGAATTTGTTCACTGTAATTCAAACATCACCACGGATATCTTCTGAAGCGTTAGAGACCTTTTAATCCAGATGTGCCACATAGAATGACAGCAGATAAACAGCGAGTAGCCATACCTGCGGTTTAGACGGGAAACAGTCGACTATCTTCTGTCGTTTTGCCCCGACGGGCAGTCTTACATGCAGAATAATCTCGCGGAGATGCTAAATATGGGAGGTTTAAGCAGCATGGTTTAGCGTCTGTGCTCCTAATCACGGTTTGACCATCATCGCGGTCATGATCGCTTTCCAACCCTTCCGGGCTCCAACAGCGCCTCCTAGCAACGGGAGCACGCGCCGAACAGTCCAGTCGTTGCTAAACATATTTCTTAGTATGTTAACACATTATGTACGTCATGAAATTTCTGTTTTAGCATAACAGAAAGTAGTAAAACCTTGTGTAATGAAAACCTTGAACAGATTCAATCATTTTCATTTAATTAAAAAGAACAAATATCACATTATTTGTCGATTTTTTTTTAATGATTCATAATGGTCTCCTTTTAACATCACAAAAACTTGACATTTTATAAGACGTGTGCATTTTTGAGAGGCTCTGTTGGTGTTTTTTTATTTATTTTCTCTTTGCTTATATGCTTGTTCCCTTGTCTACTGTGACAAGAGAACAAGTAAAGTGAGAATAAGAGAAATTTGGTATGTTGTGTCATATTTTCATCCCAAAGAAATCAGAATTTGCATACAACATAAAAGTAAACATATTGTGTACATTTACTAAACTAATATAATTTAGAAAAGTTTAGCCTCAAGAATTATACAGAGCATGAAAACAATGTATTTTTTTTCTTTCCTGAATCTCTCTAAATGTTTCATTTATGTACATATAAGGTGCCTATTAGTGTGGAGTGTGCTGTAAGGTCCACTGTGCTTTTTTGCTTTTGAAAAACAATGTTGTGTTTTTAAAAAAATAAATAATTCAACATTTTTGCAAGTCATGCAAAATGTCTAGTATTTCACAACTAAAAGCACTGGAATCGCAATTAATTTTTTATGAAAGCAAGAGAAAAAAGTTGTCTTTGACCCATAAGAAAGGTGAAAATGATATTTTCACAGTCTCCTCCTAAATATTTTAGATGTTCTTCTTGTTATGTTGCATGATATAAGAGAACCTATTTCCACAATGTGCAACATGGTACAAAGACATTCACTAACAGACAAACAAAATGCAACAAAATACTCATCTGAATACAACCAATTGTATTTCATGTGACTTCTTTCTTATATTGACACCCCAAAAATGCAAAATACAATACAAAGTAAAAACAATGTTTCAGCTTCACAACTCATTTCTTCTCTGTTCGGGAGAAGCTTCATATATTGGCTGAGAAATGCGCACATTTTCCGGATTGTCTCGAAGCATGCCAGCAATTTCATCATCTGTCAAGGTGGCTTTGGAATCCTGTCACAAAGACAAAACAATGAAAACAAGTTATAACAGAACAAAGCAATAGAGTCTGAACAATATATCAAAATCTTACTTGAAAGGTCTGGCGCTTGACCCCAATACATGCGTGGGACAGCTCATAACACAACACTATGTCCAAATTCTTTGTCTCTTTCTTCACTAAAGCAGCCCGGAACTGGGTACGGTGAGAATCTAGGAATAAAACATAATAGGCTGTGAAACACGCATTAATATTGTGAATTTTTTTTGTTGTTGTTGTTTGACAGTTTTACCCAACAAGTGGATGCAGGCTGATTTCATTGCATCTTTAGAAACATGCTCATGGTTGGAAGTCAGAAGTTTTTCACATAGGCGCCAACTGAGGAGCTTGTCTATCGCCGTGTGTCTGCTCCCAGCTGGGGCTTCTTTTATTCCTTTCTCAATCTCTGGAAAGCATTGAGCATAAATTATTTGCTTCCCATGCCTTAAAGAAAATAAAAAGTCACACCACAAACATGTGCCTCCCAGATATAATAAATAAATCATTTACAAGTTGTGAGGCAAGTTTAGTCCTGCATACCTCGTGCTGCTGTTAGGCAGCTTTCGCAGTAAGAGTCTGATAAAAAAAAAAAAAAAAACAGACTGGAGATTCAATTAAGCTGACACCGACATATGCAAACACAACAAATTCTTTCAAAGCTAAAAGCAGTATTTTTATTTTTATTTTTTTTACTTACAGCGATCTGTGGCATGAGACTGCACAGGAAGAGAGCATCCCATACACATAAGAAAAATGATTGTTTTCATGGTCCTTGGTGTGTACATTATGTGCCAGCTAAAAGCATATAAACAGAAGCTAACTCTGAGAACAAGCTTTTTACCTTTTACGCAGTCTGGTCATGTGATCTCAGTGACAATGAGTTTACGTCACAACCACTGACAAATGTCAACTGTACTGTCCAGTTTTTCAGGTTTTGTCTGGATGCTTGAAAAACAGCCCAGGGTCTGAGTAGGAGCTGAATGGAACACCAGATAAGGTTCTGTGAAGGAATCCTTTTACCAGCAATTAACACTTCTAAATTTAAACCTAAACTCAAGCTATCAATGAAATTTATATTTTACATTTTTACCTTTTACTTGAAAAAAAGACTTCCTTAAAGTGCCATACCTGACAAATTAGCTTATTTTGATTATCAATAAATGTTTAGAAATTGTATTAGTAGCATAGTAATAGTGTAATGATAATAATAACATAATTTCTGAAACTTTGTTATAATTAGTTCAACTTAACTGTTTAATCAGTTGATCAGAAAAAGTCCCTTACTGTTTTCAAAAGTGGTCACTAGGTGGCACTGTTTGTACGTTGAGAGCGTCGTCACTGTATTTTTTTTAAGGCGTTAGATTGTTTGACAAGTTTGGGCATTTTTACCATATATGGACTGGCTGCGTGACGTATGTGTCCGAACGGAAAGTGTGACCATGTGTGCGGGAAAAGCGAACGTTAGACCAAAAATGTTTTTAATGGAAAAGACGATGTCTTCGAGCGAGCTCAAGCTATAGCTCCTGTACATCCTAAAAATACCCACAGGCAGAGTTAACGCAGTGAGTAGTCTAGTTTTTTGTGTTTTTAGTTACTTTTTTTTTTAACTGATTACTCGTGTTTTATTAGGTGTTATGAATGGTTTAAGCTAACATTGCTGTTCTTCAAATTTCTGTTACTTTTTAAACTGTTCTCTCGTTTTATTCTGAGCTGTTATGAATAATCGAAGCTAACATTGGAGTTTTTCCACATTTTTATTGCTCTTTTTAACTAATTACTCATTTCATTCTGAGCTGAGCATGAATAGTTGAAGCTAATGTTGCAGTTCTTCACATTTCTGTTAGCCCGGTTGTATCGTTGTTTTGTTTGGTGACAAACCCATGTTCTCATTTGAACTAATACTATTAACGAATACTGTTTGCTAAGCAACAGTATTATGTTAATGACACAACGTGCTGGCAAAAGACAAACTGGTTCCAGAACGACCAGTCCTGTACCGAGCCAATCTTTCCTTATTTACCTTCATGCTAATAGGAGCTCTTCAGTTTCTCAGGTTGAACTACAGTAATTCCTGTAAAACCATGGCGTTTTCTCTTGTGCAACTTAGATAAGTTTATAATAAAGTGAAAGCTGTTTCACTTTATTTCCTTCAAAATGAACGATTGGATGAATTATATTTGATTTTTTTATGAATCAGAAGTCTTATACATCATTATTATGTATTAAAAATAATAAAAATGGCTAATAGTGGAAAGAGAAATATTGATATACACTACTCAAAAAAATAAAGGGAACACTCAAATAACACATCCTAGATCTGAATGAATGAAATATTCTCATTGAATACTTTGTTCTGTACAAAGTTGAATGTGCTGACAACAAAATCACACAAAAATCATCAATGGAAATCAAATTTATTAACCAATGGAGGCCTGGATTTGGAGCCACACACAAAATTAAAGTGAAATGTTCCCTTTATTTTTTTGAGCAGTATACATCTGTCTATATGCGTAAATAAAATACCATACAAACAAGCTGCGTTTATATCCCTAAAAGTCTAATGGCAGCTAAAAATGTTGAAGTCCACAGATTATTATTATCAGTTTCATTGATTATGCTGACTAGAAACAAGAGTCCAACTCCAGATGTTTACTCTTTGGGGAAGAGCTGCATTCTATCTTTAGTATCTGAGATAGTCCAAAAAACAAGTTAGCTGTCCAGCAGATGGAGCCTTAGTCATGAAAACCGTTTTTTTCAATCTGCCCAAAACAAGATTAGCTGTCATTCACATCCGAAACCTTAGTAATTTTGGAGGACAGCAATTGCTGAGTCATTTAGTGACTCCAGTAAACACAAGTAATTCTACAAATCTAAGCCTAGATTATTACAAAAGAAATGGCTATTTGCTAGGCTCCTTATAGCTTTTAAAGCTTCACATAGTACATGTGTTACCTTTGGTTGTTAAAATCAAACATCTAGAGAAGAACAGTGGCGCTTTCAATGCTCCATGGGCATATTTTGCACTCATCTGAAAGAAGTCCATTGTCCAAATATGGAAACTGTCTGATGGTTTATTAATCCGTTGGGGGCCATGCTTTAAACAAAGTTCCATTCTCACTGCTTCCTGGTACTCCCTTTGCACTTTTTTGTTTTTTTAAATGTCATCCCAGCGCCAGCCCTATAATGGGCCAACTTACGCCAAACTAAACATTTATCTAAAAATAAATTTGCAAATGAAAGTGTTAAATGAACCAAAAAAAAAAAAAGGGGATAAATGAAAACACATATTTGAACTAATTCAAAGTGTTTATTTTTGATGTAATTTTATAGATTTTCAAGTTGCAACAAAGGCTTTTATAAATAGTGTTTCCTGGTTAACAGTGAATGTCTGTCACTTTTGCTTTTTCCCGTTAATTTATTGAGTTAGTTCCTGCAGGCTTAAAAAAAGATACTTTATCTTTTGTGTTGGAGAAAGTGGATGATATCAGAATGGAATCTTATCTTGACTGGAGACAAATGGCATGCGACAAACATCTGAAACAATGGATTGTATTTCTGAAAATGACAATGAATACTGCTGCTCCCACATTATAACTGATGTGTGCAGCATCACTGTCTGTTTGTAATTTTAGTTATTACTTTTTTTTTTTACCGTAGAGGATTGTATTTTGGAACAAGTTTAAAATACTCAACTAACTTTTGAGTTGTTTCTTTGGTACAACAAGTTTTCTGCCTTCAACGTAATTCCAGAGCCATTAGATCTGCTCCTAGCTGTTCCTCACTCCAGCTTAGTTAGAAAAGAAAATTGTGCCGTCGCACCATATCTTCAAACTCCTGTTACTGTGCTTTGTTCTTTTACTTCATTCCTTCTGTCTTGTAAAATGTTAACTTGTAAAACAAGAGTCTTATTGAAGTTTCTTGTTTTCCGGTGGAGAAAATCTATTGTTTTGTTTAAAAAAAAAAGAGAGAGAGATTTTATCAGGTTTGTGTGATTTATTTATTTTAAAGCTAAAGCAGCCCAGATTATGAATAATTTATGCTTTAGCTATACATCTGCCTTTAAAATAGCACTTTTTGTCACAAGTGAAGCTTTACACGGGAGGAACTGGAATAGTTACTCTGAGAAGAAGACAGGTGCAATTCATTATTTTGTTCCCCAATGACTGTAAAATATACATTAGAACAGTGTGATTATGTCACATTTCTGCACTATGATAAGGACAACTTCCACAGGTTTGTAACAGCTTTGCTTCACCTTTATAATGTTGATGCTTAACAGTGAAAGAAGTGACCATATTAATAACTCACCTGCCAGCTTGCATATTTGATCGTAATAAATAACTAACAAAGTCCTGTGGCTGATAATAGACGGCATTCGTTGGCAGTGACACTTGTCGTGCATTAACCCTGAGCTTCCCAGCGGTTCAGTGCGAGTCCTGTCCGCGCACAGAGCAGCAGCTCCAGTGCGGTGCGAGCCTTTGCAGCTTTCCTCCAATAGATTCAAACTGGGCGCTCCGGCCCGACAATGGAGGGCCTGGGAGTGGGAGGATCAGCTCGGGAGCGATCCTTCTGGCTTTGTTAACGCCCGGGAAGCCATTTTGGAAGTCAGCTTGTTGTGCCGCAGCAGTTAACAGACACTTGCTACCTGCAAACTTCCGAGCGTTTCTGTCAGAAATTTGCGGTGACGGAGCGGATCGATCAGTCCGCAGCGATCGGGAACCTCTGAGGATCCCCGCAGCGGGATGCTGGCGGAACTTGGCGCATCTTGCGTTGTTCCTTCGGATTACGCTTTTAAAGAATAACATTCATGGATTCTGACGCGGGCAAGTTGATCACCCTGCTGTTGCCACAGTTTTGTGTTGTTGTTGTTGTTGTTGTTGTTGTTGTGCATTTGAATCGATTTCAAATAAACCTTGCTGCTCTCCTTTACCAACTGTTTCGATTGCGAACGCTGTATCCGGCCTTTGTTTATTTGTTTAATTTATCTCGAATCTAAACGAATCTATTCAATTTATGGTGGCATATATTAATATATGCGGATGCACATTTCTATTGAAGTGTGTTAGCCGTGTTTGCATTGGGAAAATATAAAGACAGAGCGGCGCAGTGTTAGTGACGCTGTTATCTAAATACTGCCAGCTCCAAATATAGCGCAGGGCAACGTGAGAATGTTACGAGGCTTACATGTCATTTGACTCGACAGCCTGCTGTTATTCTGAAAGTAAACATGTTTGAATTTAAATTTCCTTTTGGTCTGGGTCATTGTTTTGATGGTCGGTGGCCAAATGTTTTATTTTTTTTTTCTTTTTTCAGTGTTCGTCGCAGGTGGTTTGCGTAAAGGAGGCAGCAAAATATCTGTGTGAAATGAGGTGAACCATGATATTAATATAACTACAGGGAAGCCGTCTTTGTTAACTGTAGTGCTGCCTTTTTTTACTGTTATTGTTCAGTCTGTCTCATAGTCAATGCTCTGCAAAATGGAAAATGATGATAATTGTGGAATTGATTCATTGAATTTCTTAATATGTCTAGAAACTAATCCTAGCTGAATTTAATCAGTCCTCTTGGCTTTTGGGTATTTGTTTCCCATTATCCCTCCTTTTCGGCTTGGGGACTTTAGTGTGGATTTGATTAAGATTATGTGTAAGGATTTTGGTGGAGATTTGTTTTCCTATTATTGATTGTACAATTTTTGTCATCTAAAGTGATGCAAGCTTGATTTGGCCAAACAGCCTAATGGTAAATTATCAGTCTATGTCTACCACACCTTACAAAATCATTTATCCCCTTTGAACCTTTCCGTTTTCTGTCTGATAATGATCATAAACTTTATTGTACTTTATTGGGAGTTTTTATGCTTCATGCTGAATTAAACAAGCGTCACAAGATATATTATTTGCTAGACAGTTTGGATGCACGACACTTAAATGACCAAATAACACTTATTGTATTTGAGTAATTGTTTGTGATATCCATATTACATAAAGTAATATTGGTTCTAAGGATGAAATGAGAAATTTGTAATGTGTTGTGCAAACCTACCAAGGCATGACCATCTACTAGAGATGTGCCGATCAGGTTTTTTTTCCTACCGATACCGATCACATAATTTTTTTATTTTTTTTTTAATCATAAACACTACCGGTTACATTATGTGGAAAAAGGAACCAT